AATCAGGACAAACCCTTATTTGAAGTTTGATTACGCAAAAGTGTTTGTATAATTTACCTTCTTATCTTTTTTTCACGTTGACACAGATACTCAAAATCCAAGATTAATTACCTACCGTCGAGCTAATGACATCTTTTCTTGGCCAGCGCCGCACGCAACTGTTTGCAACAAATCTTTTCCCGATGACTCAATTAACTCTAAACTTGTCGCTTTTGGAAACGAGATTGAGGAACCAGAAGTCTTTCTGGAAAATATGAAACCATCAGTTCATAGCGAATGCTTGAGTTTAAATCTCGAGACACAACATCGCGATGCTCAACTTGTCCAGGTTTTAGCAAGTTTTGATCCTTTGACCTCAAATGACACAGAAATAACCAGCATTTTTGAAACACCACGTGATATTTTGGGTTCTACGGGGTCTTCAGCCTGGTCCCAATCATTCCGTCATCAATATACCTTTACCTTTACTGGTAGCGAGTTAAGTTTTGATGGGACAATTGATGGCAGGTGTTCACAGGCTTCTGCAACAATTGATAGATGGTCAAGAGAAACTTACTCCCCTAACATCTCTACCAACTCTAAGACATCATCATTATTAAATAGGCTGATCACGATTCCTCCGAACACGGATCAAAGGTAAATATAACATCCTTACTACCCTTTCTCAATAATAGCAGGTAGTTATTTTACGAATAATTGGTCGAGTTTATACATGGCACCTTATTAATATAATGTGTTTAATTGGTTTTTTATCACAAGGCATTAAATAAAAGAGTTTTTTCGATTGCACGGTCGCGTTCACCAAATTTGATCACAAACCCGACTTATATGGCTGCTGAGGTAATCATTTTTCATGGTTCATTTAACTCAGATTCGCCAGGAAATTCCATCTTTCACCTCATGAAAATACTCTCAACATTGCAAGTATATTATTTTCCATGCATCAATTCATACAATTTATCGTTTTTTTCAGGTACATCGCAAGTTCTCTGATTGACCATACTGGTGGTGAAGTCGTCTTACCCCGTACGGGAATAAGACTGGTTATTCCAGAAGGAGCTCTAGATTTCGGAAGAGCAGAAGTAATTCAAGTCGCGTTGGCAGGAAATTCCGATTTCATTCCAAAAGATTACAAAGCTAGTATGCTCACTCCAGTTGTAATGTGCGGTCCACATGGATTGCAATTCAACAAGCACGTTCTCCTCATCTTGCCCCACTGTCTGGCGGTTGGTGATGAACTGCAGAGGGATTTTAAAGGTTTGAATTTTACCACTTGTAAAATACGAGCGGCCGATTATGTACGGGTATTCACCCTTATGAAATGAATAAATTAAGCTTAATGCATATTAGGGCATGTGTGTAACAAAGTCATAAATGCTAATTAATATTAATGTTACTTATTCATAAGACCTTTTTGGAGAATTACAGATGTATACATGTGACCAAAATAATGCACAATGATTGGAAGTTGGTCTATTGTTAATTCTTTTGAATAAGAAGTTCGTAGACGAAACCACTAAATTTTACTATTTGTTTTTCCTTCTATATTCAAGCCATACATTTCAAAGTTCATTTTTATAAACACTGTAACAATTATAACCTGTATACATTGACCTTCAGAAAATTTAAATAATAGTCGCTAAATCAAAGGTGTTTCTCGATTTAAGATTGAGTATAATTATTCTCTTTCTTCTAGTTCATTGCAGTGACACAGCGCCAGGCGATGTTCCTGACTGGAAAGAGGTTTTCGACGCAAGGGAAGAAGAACAAAAAGATGTGTTCTGTCACATGGAAAAGCAGCACTTCAGTCTCTTTGTTCAACACCTCTCGTGGTACGTAATCGAGGGTAGAGGACGTGCAAAAAACTTCAAACTCGCAGCGTATCATACAAGCTTTCATCAACCAAATGAAGATTTTAAAGTGAGAATCTATTTCATTCCAAGTATAAAAAATTCCACTATCAATCAAGAGGTAAGCATAATTATTAAAAAATATAAAGTGATCAGTCTATTTCTATAAAAATTGCTTTTCTATTTCTATAAAAATTGCTTTTTCTATATAACGTGGTTTTGACAACCACCTCATGCACCACCGCACGCTCGCCTTTTTCAACTGATCTCCATACAATAACTGAATGCAACGTCAGTATATATTTTACTATTTAAGTGCCTGGGTACGAGGCTGTGCGCACACGGTAACGTACGTTTTCTAGCGTTTTCAGATTATTTTTTATGTCAAAACGGTTTAGCAAATTTAAACGAATAGCCTTCGAGGATCGTTACGCTTCTAAATGAGTGTCAACTTGTTTTATGTTAAGAAACATTCAAAACATTTAAATTTATGCAATTCTTAAGTCAGAAGATCTTAAATTGTTTAAGCAGAACCAATGTACAAAGCGAACTTGACTCTTGAAGGCTGCTTTCCATCAGATTCGGCCTTTGAAAATATTCTAACGGAAGCGTGACGGACCTGAAATACAAAGCGCGCTTCGCCCTCGCAGGCGGAACGGAGGTAATGAGGTAATGACTCCCTTAATGCCTCAAACGAATCTTGAGGTGTCCCAAAATTGCCAATTGCCAAAAAAGATATATCCGTTACATTGAAGTAACTAATGCATGGGCAGACCTGTGATTTATTTCTATTACTGTTAAGATTTTGGCAGTAAGGGTAAAATGTAACAGATTCTCAAACAATTGTTTCGTCGCCTTTGATCATTCCGGAAGACTTCCATTGCATATGGAAGTAAAGAACTTGTCTTATTTAATGACAGGACGTAGAAAAATGTGAAAAAAAGCTCAAAGGAACTCTCTGTGATGGCGAAAAAACAAAGATATTTTATGAACACAGCGGTGATATCAAAATCAAGGCCCTTGAAGTCAGTGAAGGATGGAAGATACGAGGAGAAAGTACACAGGTATTGTAACAAGGTGCAATATCGTTTTGGACCAATCTGCAAATTTTTTTTATTTTTAATTACGGGATCAGAATCCATAAATATTGACTACTTCTAGTAAAAAGGTGCAAAAAAATGCAGGCATTCTGATTGGCTTAGCCAGAAAAATGTAAACAAATGGGGAAATTAGATTAATAGGAAATTCCTCCTGGTTAGGCACTATACATCGAAAATATAATGTTAAAATTACTTAGTTATATAGGCGCAGTTCACTATAGCAAAAAAATTGAATTTCTCGAGAATTTTATGAGGATGAGAAAACAGTTTTGAAATATTTATATCAGTTCAATTGAGCCGATCAGTACCTTGGTTTTGTCAGTTGGACGAATTTGTTACATAATCACCTGCATGCAGGGGAAAGATAACAGTATGTTCATATCAACATGCTTAGGCTTTTACAATTCAGATGCAAACGTGAACATCATCTTGCAAACCTTGTCAGGATTTTGTAATTCTACGCATTTTCAGATTGGAGGGTATGAAGAATTGTGTCACTGTCACGAAGCTGCATCTCCCAACCTGACTTTTGTCTTTGAACACGTGGATGGGAGACCGAAAAAAATTTTTTGCAAGTTCAGGGCTTCTCAAGATGCTTGTAAATTTGATAAACCTGTTGATATTACCCTGTCGGTGAATTTTAAGGCGGAGGTAATCATTCTCATTTGAAAAATAAAATAAAATTTTTGAGAAAAAAATCGCATAAATACTCAACAAAATATGTCTTGCATTGCACAATGCGTATTCAGAAGAAAAATTTAACCTTTTAACTGAGTTATTCAATAGTTTTCTCGTTGACAGCGATACAGAAATGCACAATTGTGAAACAGTGGATAGATCCTCGGGATGAAATTTCACAACACTAGTCCTGAGGTGTTGGTTAAAACCTGGTTGATTCCATTGTTTTGAGGGGATATCGTCTAGGCTTCCAAATCTTTGAAATTTTTCAATAATAATATCAGAAAAACTCAGCACAACTCAATAGCTTTTCCAAACAAGACTTTTCTTATTTTCAGATTAAAAGAGCACAGATGAACGCGTCTACCGAGGCTGGATTTTCCTCTGTGTCTTCCTCAGGCTACGCTGGATCCGGTGAAAACACGACCGTGGCATTCATTCCGACAAGACTTCGTAAGGACTTGAGAGAGTTGTTAGATGTAGAAATTGTCGGGATCGAAAATTATACGATGTTAGCAGATCGCTTGGGTTATGACCTGCAGTTCATACGATGGTTGGGGTCGCCGAAAATACAAAGTCCAACAGATACGCTTCTCATGAAATGGGAGAATGATCAGGGAAGCAGAAGTCCGAGAGATGCATTACGTCATCTTCAAGAAACACTTTCCAAAATGAATAGAGTGGACGCTGTGGAGAAAATACAGGAATGTTTCGATGAATTTCTTATCGGAAAGGAAACGACAGTGTAAAGTGAAGGGAAATGACCCCCTATTATTTTTATGTACATTTTAATTGTATGGCAAAACTGCTAAAAAAATAATAATGTTTACATTGAAAAAGACTGTGTAAATAGGAGCATTAGCTACATTCTAAAATTCTTTGAGGATTCTGTTATATAGCTTCCCCGAGCTTCAAATAAGCGTGAGATGATTTTCAGGTATTGAAATAAGTCTTTAAAACAAGCGCATTCTCAGATGACTTGCTTGAAGAAAGTCTCATAAAGGCAAATATATATAATATATTCTCTAAAAGAGGAGCAAGTTTGCATTTGTCGTGTATAAGCCATATTCTCAATATAACATATTGTCAATGTTCATATTCTCAATATAATAGAATATTGACATATTCTCAATGTTTAAGACGTATATTAATGTCTATGCGGGGCAATGCCTCGCGTTTTGAAGCGTTGCTTAGAAAATGAGACATATCTAAAATTATACAGCCCGTACCTCAACTGTGAAAAAAATCAGTTCCTGAAGAAATGAAATGATAGAATATTTCGTCGTGACTATGGTAATAAAACAACAAATCATTAATTTAGGGCTTGTCCTCCTAAGCATTGTATTTGGCAATATCCGGTGAACATCGCTTATTAAATCCCAACGGTTATACTGTTAAAAAGTAAACACAGAATTTCAAACCAAACACTCTCAACGTACACAAACGGAAAGGCTGAGCCCGATTACTTCTGTGAACGTCGTCGCATTGCGCGTTGCTTTCAAGTCGCCTATATCCAGTTATGCGAACATCAATGTTTAAAGACTTTAAAGTCGTATGGATTTTTGCACTTGTATCAATTTACAGGAATGTCAATAGTGAAGACAACTTAGCGGTAGATATTGGGAAAGAGAAAGGTACCAAATCCTTTGTTTTTGCGCGATCACAATGCGCTAGAGTATACCCTAAATTGCCACGAATTGCGAGTATATTTTTGAATGGTTTTTACAATTTTTATACGGCAATTTGAAATTAAAACGATATATTAAATTGGAGATAAATTTGATGAGTAAGCATATTATAAATGCAACTTGATTTTTTTCGATATTTGATGGTATCTGCGATTATTTTCGTGAGAATAATTATAGGCCCACTCTATCAAGGAGATATAGCAGGTTATGGCGACGAAATACGTGATATTTCGTGCCAAAAATCCGACAAAAGTCATGGGTATAATCTATTAGTCTCAAGGGGAAGTCCCTTTCGTATCGTGATGACTGAATCGATTAAGTCGCTTTTAAAATCCTGTTGCACTGTGTTCTCAGTTTTTCGCAAAATGTTGTGAATTTCGTATACTATTTCTGTTGTTTCAATACGTTTGGCTAGTAGCTATATCTGATATAAATTGATAAATTTATTTTCGAATGAATTTTCATCTCTGCATTTTCATCATCGCTAATGTTGAAATCAACGAATTTCTCAATTTTTATATATTCGACCATATGTGCATGCTACGTTTCTGTATTCCTTAAAATCAATGCATATGAAAATCACATTTGTGATATTTTCTTACTATTTCTTTTATTAAAGCGATTCTTCGTTACGTCCGCTCCGCCTGCGCGGGAGAAGCGCTCTTTGTTTTTCAGGCAGGTCAAGGTCGCATGGGCAGATTTTCAAAAGGCGCGGATGAAGCAGTTCGCCCGCGCGGGTAAAGGGAACTGTAAAGGAAAATCGCGTTAAAAGCTTTATAAAACTTTATTTGAGCAAACAGGCCCGACTGAAAGTAACAAAGCCAGCGGTGGTCAGCAAGATGAAATTAGATCTAATAAATGTATAGGTTATTTTATACAAAATAAACCGGGAATAGTGCGACTTTCCATATAAATAATAAATGTATAGGTTATGTTGTAGAAAATAATGCGGGAATAGTGCGACTTACCTCAGCATGCATGGGATGAAAAGTTGTATATTTTATCTTCAGTAAGCAAAAACTAAAAAAAATTATTTAACCACCCACCAACGAACCAGACCAAAATGAGATAAAATGAACGAAGTATAAGAGTATATGTGAATGCAGTCTCGTGTATATACCATTATATTAATATTTAGAAACGGCTGTTTCTGGTAATCTAGGTCTAGATCGAGTTTCCGCATTCGAAATATATTTCTGCTTCCTATCACAGAACGGCCTATACTTATATAAATAACGTTCCCCGCTTATTGCCAATTTGAATATTTTATTAACATCGCCTTCATCAAAAGTGAACAAAATTTTACTTGCACTCTTCAACAAGATTGAGCAATTAATTGTCGTGGCTTTTTTTAAGTCAGTTACTCGCAGCTCAATTTTGAAATTCATCTCTATTATAGCGAAAACCTTATTTATTTTTTAGCACCTGCACAAGACGCGGAACTTGTGGAAATATCGTACATCTCGAAACCAAGTGTATCTGCGATAGACGTTTCGTGTCGTACACACGTTGCAGCTCTCAATTTTAGGATCGTATGCCCGGATCTTGACGACGCACCTGAACTTGCAAAATCCGATGGTTCAGATGAAGCCAGCGAATGCGACTGGAATGGCGGCTATTGGCGAGGGAGTGGATGTTCGCACAGGCGCAGGATTCTTTCGAAACAAATTGAACATCTCACAAACTTCACCTGCTTTTGCTGGATAGAACAAGCATTAAAGAACGTAAGAAGCCAAGCATCAGTCAAAATTATAAATGAGGGTATGTAAGTTCCACGAAAAAGCTGTATTATACAGCTATTTCAATTTAGGTTGTGAGTGAAAGTAATCAATTTAAATATACAAGATAAACAATAATGGTCCCTCAGGTTTTGTTTTCTTTTTGTATTCAGTCATTTATTTTCGTTGTCGCAAGTGTGTCTATATATGTGAGCAGACCGATGCATGCGCAGAACGACCTTGACTTCCACTTTAAGCTAACTTTATAACAATTCTCTAGGGGTCGAAAAATCTACAAAAGCGATTTTTCGGAGTATTGACAAAGTAAAAAGCATCCGACTTGTTTGTTCCATAACCGGCTATCCTCCTCCTAAAATTACTTGGTTTAAGAACAAACATCCAGTAATGAATAGAAGCGCGGAAAGCGTCATCAACAATGTGACATATCAACAAAAGGGTCGTAGTTTGGTAATCAGTAGAACTGATGTGGATGGTTCTGGGATGTATCAAAGTCTAGCCAGGAATACCGCCGGGGTGGAGTGGGGAAGAATTTACAAAGTCGAATTTTATGGTAATCTTATACACTTAATGTATGCTCCCGAGGGAAATAGTGAGTTTTGTTTTCCCGGGAGTCTGAATGTTTCCCGAGACGAATTCGAGAGAAACATTGAGACTCGAGGGAAAACAAAACTCACTATTTCCCGAGGTAGTGTACATTAAGTATTTTGTTATATAGGAACAAAAACATACATGTTACACAACAATTTCATTTAAAAAAATACCCACTTTACTTTGTTATGACCATAAGCCGGCGACAATTTTTCACTTGTTTCCCTGGCGGGAAACATTGCATTTATTTAAAGTCATGTGACTACGAATGAACCAATCACACTTAAAATACACAGCACCTATATAACAATACCTTTTATACTGCATATTAGATTTTGACAAGTTCTATACTAAGAATAAGAGACTTTATCAAGTTTATTAAGGGGCAAGTTATATAAAAATAAATAACAGAATAAATAGTTAGCGACGAAATTGTACATTTTGGCGGTTAACATGCAACAAAGGAAAATATGGTTAGGAGTTTTATACAATCGGCCTTATTATATACAGTCTATTTTAGAAGCGAAAGTATTCTCAATGACAATGAATGAATCTAAGGATCATTTTACAGGTACATGATTATTTAGGACAAAACAGATAAAGAGAGCTTAAAGATTATTAATTAATACTCTTTTGCAAATAATCCAGGAATTCTGTTTCCAGCTTTACTAAAGTGATTTGGAACTGTCAGTCCAATACATTAATATAACACCCATGCGCATGCATGAAAGAGATAAGCCATACAGAGGCTTGGTTTGGCTTGGTTTCCATTTAGTCGTGAGTGTCGTGAACAAGTTGTTTTTGCGGATGAAAAATAGCTCGGATTTTAATTTGTCTTTATTTCTGTATGCAAATTTCTGTATTGATTGGTCAATGTTTACTGCACGCACATATTCATGACCTTGACATATTCATGACACCCACGGCTACAAAATGGAAACCTATTTGAGAGAATTTGATGATGAATAAGAATAAATAATCAAACTTTCCTTAATTTTATAGTCAACCACGACAAAGAAACGACTAAAATGACGAAATACCCAAACATAGTCATTACTTCACAAAGCACACCTATTGTACCAGGTAGCTATAAGTGCATCAAAATACTATTACGTACAGTAGCTTAGTGGCTAAAGAATACCTTCGAAAATGCGGTCGCCTTTCGAGTTTAAGGTTCGATCAAAATTTGCTAGAGAAGTTGAGTTGCATTTATCGTCAGAGTTTCCTGTTTTCTTTTAAATTGAAGTATTCTGATCCTTAATTTGTTCTCCTAATATTTGTATTATTGTATGGATACTAATATAACAAGTCGATCGTCGATACAGTCCTTCAGATCATGTGTATCTTTCTGACCAAAGTTATTTTATATTTAGAGTTTATTAGGAATGGAAATGGCTCTGCAGGGACATATAATGACAAAGGTATGTATGCATTGCTAGAGAACATTCACACGGCCAAGACAAACTCAGACAGCGCAATTAAGATCGTATAAGGAGCATGCTCGAATTTTTCAACGGGTTCTCATGCGTTTTAAGTGGACAAATTTCCCAATATTTTGTCTTTAATTCCCAAAAAGTAATGTTAGCATGCACATATTTGCAAAATAATTTATAATTGTCTCTTAGACATACATGAGAAAAAATTATTAAATTCCAATTTCCTTTGAAGGGAAACAGTATCTGCAAACCTTAATAGATAGATGATCTTATGGCTGATAAAATTAATTTTCTTGTTGTTCTGTCCAGAAGAAGCAGATGACAAAAGAACAATTAAAGAAAACAATATAAACACAAGTAGGTAACTCTTGTTTCACCAAGATCTCCACATATTTCGCCTGTAGATTTCCAAAGTTATGGTATAGTCCAGCATGCACATGTCTTAAGGCTTTTGGGGATTGTTGCATGAAACTCTTATCGTACTGTAGTTGACACCATTAATACATTGTCATCAGTATCATGTGTCGTGCTTGAACGATGCAAGCCCCAGAACAGAGACAGATCTGCAGTTTCGAGGCAAACGATAGAACCGAAAGGTATCGACAGGACATAGCACAATTTCCCCTTTCTCAAACGTAAATAATTATTTCTAATACTTCTCTTTTCTTCTCTGTAAATTACCCCAGTTTCTTGTAATATTTTATTTAAAAAATTTTGCAGCGAAGATTGTTTTCATAGCGATAGCAATCGTGTGCCTAATTATTATAATTGGTTTGGTCAATATCAAATGCATTCTCCACAGGAATACGCGTGCATCAATGGGTAAGCAGATCTTTGAATAATACTAATAGCCAGCTTGAATATTTATGTCAAGTAAGTTCCCTTTCGTCAAGGGTACACGGCAAAATTGACGAGATTGCCACATCAGTAGTGAACAATGATGTGCTGCACCCCATCAAACAACTATTGTTAACAATGTTGTTGAACCTTGTTTAATCATCAATGTTCATGCAATTTAATTGTTGACATGATTGCCAACAAGTTGCAACGGTATTGATGGCTCAACAGCCATGCATTGTTAACAATTCTGTTCACTGGGTGCAGCACAATATTGAACATTGTTAACTCCGGTTTTGAACAACATGGCATTTATACGCATGTAGCCTACTTCATGCAAAGCCGAATGCAATAGTTGTCAAGGCATTCTGCAATCTTTTGACAGCTCATCATACAAACTGACAGTTGTGGAATGGCCATTTTGAGACTTAAAGTGTACACAAGTTTATTTATTCGGACGATTCGATTTACCGTGTGCAAGCTTCAAATCTTTTGTGCAACATATATTTTTTTGTTATAACTATTTTTGCTCAGCAACTTTGAAGCATACGTTTTAAGAATTGGGGCTAATTCTTACCAATTTCCGCGGTGTAATCTAACACTGTTGCATCATCGCGATCGTATGACTTTTTGGCACATGGCTTTAGCTAATCAAATGAAAAATATTAAAAAACTAACTTTAGCCCCTTTTATTCTCTTGAATTCTTTTCTTTTATTATTTCTATTCTAATTTTTCGTAGACATGGATCCTCAACAGTCAAGATTAGATTTTTTAGTTTGCTGCAAAGTTAATAAAAAATCTTCCTGGGCATCGGTGAACAGTATTGCTAGTGACATACATGATGTTCCAAATGATCGTGATTCAATTAACCATAAGCTTGGCGCCTTGCATGATGTGTTTGAAGAACCGATAGCCTTTCTAGCAGGCAGTTTCAACATATATCATTCCAAAACCGAGGATGCTTCGACTTCCTATGACCCAGAAATAACCAGAATCTTCTCTACACCACATATTGGTATTTTTTCATCTCAATGTATGGATAGAACATCATCAAAACAGCGTGACATGTTGGAGTCTACTGGGTCTTCGGCCTTGTCTCAATCATCCCGTAATCAATTTACCTTTACCCCTATTTTCGATCCTTTTTGTTGTAGCGAGTTAAGTTTTGATGCGACAATTGATGAAAGGTTTCCACACGCGTCAACAACAATTTATGGACAGTCAAAAGAGCTTCACACCCCTAACTTATCTACCAGCTCCCACACATCATCTTTATTGAATAGACTGATCACGATTCCTCCAAACACAGATCAAAGGTAAACTTACATATCTTTTCTGTCTCAACATTATCATGTATTTTAACGGTAAATCAAGAGATATACTATATATATATTATATATCGGTTCAAAATTTATGTCAGAGCTATAGCTCTCGAATTAAGCCCAACTACAAATTTCAACAAGTTTCATAAAGAATAACGAAATATATAACCAGTTAAATACTGAGAATCATCATCATCAATCAAACATCAATAATGTTGCAACTTGTTGGCAATCATGCCAACAAATAAATTGCATGAACATTGATGATTAAACAAGGCTCAAACTCCTGATGCGACAACCTGATAATTTTTTAATTCTTATTCCGGTGCCGTGTCATACGATCAGTGCCCAAAATCGATTAAACCTCTATCCTTTTCTAATTAAACTTTAAGGTACATCGCAAATGCTCTGATTGACCATACTGGTGGAGAAGTGGTCTTGCCCCGCACCGGAATAAGACTGGTTATTCCAGAAGGTGCTCTAGATTTTGGAAGAACGGAAGTAATTAAAATCGCGTTGGCAAGTTCAGATTTCATTCCAAAACAATACAAAACCAGCATGCTCACTCCAGTTGTAATGTGCGGTCCACATGGATTGCGTTTTAAAAAGCACGTTCTCCTCATCTTGCCCCACTGTCTGGTGGTTGATGATCAATCGCAGAGGGAGTTTAAAGGTTTGAATTCTACTACATGTAATATCGCATGCTAACAGTAACAGCAACCTTTACTAGCGAATTAAGTGAGCGATGGTTATATACCGTTTTACACAATAGAGAATAAATTCCTTGAAAGTAAAAAATGCATTAAGTATTGTTTTTTCCATCGGCATACTGTCATCATTTTTATTATGGCGAATAGCTTTCTCGTTTCAGAACAAAAACTGAAACCTTTTTGAAGACTTCCAAATCCGCCCAAACCTTCGTTTTCTTCTATATTTAAGCCGTCCATTCCGAATCCTTTCGAATAACATACTCAATATAGCAACTATAACGAAGGTAGAATTACTGAACTCCAGGAAAACCCAATTAAAAATATTGTGGCTATACCCGGTAGAGCACGAGATCAATGGTACAGATCAGGGGCCGCGGTTGTTCGAAAGATGGATAACTTATCCAACGGATAAGTCCTATCCAACGGATAAATCTGCTATCCAGTGGATAGTTATCCATTGGATAAAAACGCGTTGCACGAAGCGTGGATAGTGAAGTGGATAGCTATCCAATAGATAAGTTAAAATTTACCGGAAGAAAACAGGATTATCCTGAAATTTCGTACCACAACGTCAGCTGTTGCTAAGCATTTACAACATTGAATTCATAATCATTACGAATTCTCGAGTATAGTTACTGAATGGAAAAGACTTGAACAAGTGATTTGCTCGAACTTTGCATTTCACATCATAGTGATTTTATCAATTAAACATATTGCAATTTCATTCCTTGATCTTGCAACGCTTTGCCTTTCGGTTCCATAGCAATTTTAGGAACACTATTTTAATGTTCGTGAATGAAATTACTTAGATATTAGCAAGTTTCCTTTGAATAGGTTGAATCTTTCTTTGCATATTCGCGTTTATAAACTGATTAGAAGCGTATAGTAAATTTGCCGCCTGTTATAAATGCGAGGATATCTAAAAAATCGCCGCTCGGAACGGAATGTGTAGGCAACGTGAAACGCTGCTCCGGCAAATTGCACTTCGAAAACATTTCTAATAGTGAATACAATCAGGACGTGTATTAGTTTGTTGAAACACAGTAACAGGAATATGGCATTGTTGTCCTATTTTATATAAATGTTTACGGTGTTAGCTTGTATCTTTGAATTTATCCACTGGATAGTGGATTTAAACCACCTCCGGACCTTGGATAAATTTATCCGGTAGATAGCGATTTTTATCCGCTGGATAAAGTTATCCAAGCTTCGTGCAACGCAAATCACACGCTGGATAAAACTTATCCGTTGGATAGCGACTTATCCGTTGGATAGCGACTTATCCACCTTTCGAAGAACCGGCCCCAGAATTGTTACTAGTTGCATTATGATTAAGCCACTATTTCGTTCAGTTCTTTGCAGTGACACAGCGCCAGAGGATGCCCCCGACTGGAAAGAGGTTTTCGACGCAAGTGAAGAAGAACAAGAAGATGTGTTTTGCAACATGGGAAAGCAGCACTTCAGTCTATTTGTTCAACACTTCTCGTGGTACACAATCGAGGGTAGAGGACGTGCAAAGAACTTCAAACTTGCAGCGTATCATACGAGCTTTCATCAACCAAATGAAGATTTCAAAGTGAGAGTCTATTTCATTCCAATTATAAAAAATTCCACAGTCAGAGAAGAGGTAAGCAATATTCTAAAATCTAAACTATGGGCTCTGTATATTTCTTTAAAAAAATTATGCGATCAGCGTTTATAAACTTTTTGTGGTTTGGCGATAACCACTTTATTCATTTCGCAAAATACATGCATACCAATCAACGAGTTTGTTTATAGTAACCCAGTCGGAATTCATAGAAATTGACTACTTCCGGTAATAAGTTACCTTGTTTACCGTTTTACATGAAGTATGAAAAATTTAGGAAAATTTAGGCGGAGTGGCTTGGTCTGAAAAATGTACACAAATAGGTGGATCAGTTTAAAACGAAATTCCTTAATGTTCAGTTAGGGTAACCATTGACATATGAAGAATAAAAAAAATTATTGATTCATTGCTTTAATCATGCCAGGAGATCTCCATTGTACATTACCGCAAACACCTTTTTTATTCAACGACAGGAAGTGGAGAAAGACGAGAAAAAGCTCAAAGGAACTCTCTGTGACAGCGCGAAAACAAAAATCTTCTACGAAAACAGCGGTGATATCAAAGTCAAAGCGTTTGAAATCAGTGAAGGATGGAAGATACGGGGTGAAAATACTCAGGTATGTACATTGGAGAGATACTGTTAAAATTGCGAATTCAATAAGCGATATACAGGCGCCTTCGGCTAAAATAGGAAAGATGGCGGGTAGATCGAACTTGGAAACATGTCTGTATGTTTTCGCGAATATAAACCGTGTCAACAAAGGCGTTATTCTCTGCAAGCGAAAAGATTGCGACATTTAAATATCGACATGCTCTCTAGCAATTCATTCATTAAAACTCATTTTTCAAAATTTAGCTTTACCTTGCGGGAAAAGATCGAAAGTTCGACCAGGGGTAGCAAATTCTTGCTTTTGTGACAAATATAACATTTTAGTCTTTGATATAACGCTATTTTTTACTATCATAAAAAACGTTGATGTTTTTGCAACTAAAACCATTACCAAATTACATTTTCATCACAATTCGGCTGCAAACGTAAAAGTCTTCTCGTTAAATTTGTCATGCAGTTTTGCATTTCTACATTTTTTTAAGATTGGAGGCTATGAAGAATTATGTCATTGTCACGACGTTGCTTCTCCTAACCTGACTTTTGTTTTTGAACACCTGGACACGAGACCGAAAAAAATCTTTTGCAAGTTTAGAGCTTCTCAAGATGCTTGCAAATTTGATAAACCTGTTGATCTTACTTTGTCGGTGCACTTTGAAGCGGAGGTAATCATTCTCATTTGAAAAAATAAATCGTTATAGGTGATCATGTCAAAAGGATGAGGAGTATTCAAACAAATTAATATATCCAACCCCGTGCTGCTGGTTAAAATCTGGTTGATTTCAATGTCTAGTGGGGGAGATGGTCGGGACTAGTATAGAATACTAAAAAATTCAGCACAACTCGATAGCTTTTTCAAGCAAAAAGTTTCTTATTTTTTAGATAAATAGAGCAAAGATGAACGCACATGCCGAAGCTGGATTTTCCACTCTTTCTTCCTCAGGCTACGCTGGATCCGGGGAAAACGCGACCGTGGCATTCATACCCACAAGACTTTATAAGGACTTGAGAGAGTTGTTAGATGTAGAAATTGTCGGGACAGAAAATTATAAGTTGTTAGCAGATCGTCTGGGCTATCGAACGCCGTTCATACGATGGTTGGGGTCACCGAATGTACATAGTCCAACAGATATGCTTCTCAGACAATGGGAAAGTGATCAGGGAAGCAGAAGTCCGAGAGATGCATTACGTCATCTCCAGGAAGTACTCTCAGAAATGAAAAGAGTGGACGCCGTAGAGAAAATACAGGAATATTTTGATGAACTTCTTATCGGAAAGGAAACGACTGTGTGAAGTTCACAAGAGCTGTGGAAACGACGGTTGGGTGCCAAGAAAAGACTAACTTCAATTAATAATAGGTCACTCGACTTTTTATTTTGTCGTTGACAAATTTGACATACATAACAATAAGTGTAAAGCTCCAAAGCGTTGACATACATTGAATACAATAAGTATAAAGCCCGACGAGAAAAGTTCTTGGATACGTTTTCTTGACGCAACTCCTTCATCATACAAAAATTGAGCAAGCTTACAACTTTGCCATTATTTTTGAAGAATTAATTGGTGTGTTTAATTGTTTTACATTTCATCCTATAATACTTCTGATTATAAAATGTCCTCATAAACATGAACAAACCTTTACTATAAGACGTTACTATTACAATTAGATTTATGATATACAATTGAAACAGTGTTTTCCTAATCTAGCTTTCTATTGTCTATTACTAAAGTACTTGGAAAGAAACTCGATTAGAATTTAGAAACTTGAACGTACACGTGATTCCAGATCATAATAATTACATTTGTTATATAGGTGCCGTGTATTTTAAATGTGATTGGTTCATTCATAGTCACATGACTTTAAATATAAATAATTCCCGCCAAGGAGACAAGTGAAAAATTGTTGCCCGCATATTGTCATAACAAAGTGCTTTTTTAAATGAAATTGTTGTGTAACATGTATGTTTTTGCTTCTATATAACAAAACACTTAATGTACTCTACCTCGGGAAATAGTGAGTTTTGTTTTCCATCGAGTCTCAATGTTTCCCCGAGACGAACATTCAGACTCTTGGGAAAATAGTCACTATTTCCCCCGGGAGCATACATTAAGTGTATAATAGTGTGATGTGCGTTCAATGTTCGGGTTATATATGGCGCGTGGTTCATGTAACAACGAATTCGGGAACAGCGAAATATTCAGGTAAAAAAGGAATAATTAATTTCCTTTCAAAAATTACTTTAAAAAACATTTCTCCTTTGGAAAAAACGTTTTAACTTGGAAAATTTGTCAGTAAAGCTGAAAAGAGCAACCAAAATTTACTATAAACGTGCAAAGTTTTAAAGTAAAATGTAGTAAAATCTAACATTTTAGATCAAAAAAGAGCACTTTCACTTTTAAAGAAGCGCACATTTTCTCCCTCCACAAAACTTTGGGGTGCATTTGACTCTCCGGTTCCGCCGGCTCTGTGATCGTAAGGAAGCCCAACGAATGAAAATTGCTCTGAGATTTCTTCGTTTAATATCCAGAAGTTTTTCTTGGATCTGAGGCTCTCGGCGCTGAATTTCTCGGCAACTTTCCAAGCTGTCGCATTGCTTGACGTAACTGGTGGAGACGTGGGTCGCCCCGGGTTTATCATCCATGCCAATTCGGCAAAAAATGTCTGCAAGTTTAACCAAAGCGTCCACATACTGCGGAATGAAATCGTGCTCTTTAGCATACTCAGCAGAAATCATGTGGATGTGTATTAATCGGATATCTTTACTCGAACTCTGGATATTGGAATGAAAATCAGCAATGGCGTTGAAATATCTGAACTGTTGAACTAGAACATCCCTCTTGCCATCTTGAGGCGCTATAATACGTAAAAGCCTCAAAAGTTTGTCGCAATGAAGATCGCCAGCTTTAATATGTTCTTCGTGGTCGTCACCGTCCTCGTACTTTATCAACTTCTTTAGGCACACCAAGATTTGTCTATGGCAAACCAACTTGCTGTATACGTCGTCATTTGTCTTCTTTAACATTCCTCTTTCGAAGAATTGCCTTTTGTCATCGATCAACGCTTGGTAGAGTTTGATGGCAGTCTTCAAATCATTGCAGTGGTGTTGTTTTTCCTTCTGGACGAATTCGCCATCCTTATTCACGAAGTCGTCGTTGACCAGAAGATACAGAAGACCATTCGTTTGCGCCAAATACTCATGTAAAACTGCATCTCCAGGATTCATTCGTTCGCTTATCTTCCGTGCTAAGCAATAAGCTAGCTTTAAAAGGCTGACGTAAAAAGGAGGTGGGTGAATAAGACTGCGGGTGGTGGTCGAATTCTTGTAGAAATAATTTCGCCCCAGGGAGTAAGTTATCGACACGTACAGCTCTGGTAGAAACAACTCCTTGTAAGATGCCTCGCTGTATGCCACTCCGTGGGAAACAAGTAGATCAACATTTTCAAGGGAAAGCGGATCCGAGTATGCAATCTTTTCCTTCAAGGCCTGATTCTTTCTGACTTCTTCAGGAAACAATGCAACATCCTGTTCGTCGATAGTACGCAAGAAAACAAGTTCCTTTACATCATCCAACGGTAGCTCCGAGCTTTTCCGTGACAGCAAAGTAAACAAACGCAAGGAAACTGCCTCGTCGTCCTCGGTTATACCATACTTCTCTGGAAAGTTTTCAGAAAGTGATTTTTCTCCATTGCCTTGGAAATCGTTTGTTTGTATTTCGCACAGGCTGTGAAGTAGATTTCGAGCGCGTTGAAAGTGATCATCCGCGACTTTCTCGTTAAATGGTTTTTCCTGAGTGCAGACGAAACCGACGAGCTCCGACAAACGAGCTAATGCAATTGACGTGCGGGCGTCTTCATTCCTCGTGTTTCCCGACAGCTGCAGAAATTTATTAGCATGTTCACGCATGAGACGCTGCAGGAAATCTCCTTTTGAAAAGCGATTATCCTTGCTGAAATGCTTCGCGAGTATTCCAGCCAATCTGCAGGGGAGATTTGCACGCTCCTTCTCATCGATCAACTCACTGATCACATACTTTGTGAAACTGTTTAAAGAAAAGAAACGAATGCCCTTTTCAACAGTAATGCGAAGAAATGGCTTGAGCTGACTTTTGACATGGAATAGCTTGATCATATTCTCCTTTCGTGAGCCCGAGGACAACTGACCAATCAAAAGGAATTCTGGAATCATGTGATGATAGATCAGAGATACACAAGCAATAGTGCGGAGAATGGAGCCATCAACCTTTTCTAAACATGCGTACACGCTTGAGAAAAGTGTCTTCCCATGGTGGTCTAATTCAGTTCTACGAACATCCTCTTTCACTCTGTCATACTGAAACTCCAGATATTCATGAGCGAGAAATCCATACTCCATCATGTACCATTTGGCAACTGACAGACCAAGGATATTCCAACCAAAATGTTCGCAAAGTTTCGGGATATCTTCAGGGTTCTTAGTGTGGACGTCTTTAAGAAACGTTTCGGCCTCCTTAAACTCCTCCACTGCAATCCTTTTCGCTTCATCAGGTTCCAAAAAGACTTCCTTGCTTACGATTATAATGTAAATGGATTTCCTGATACTCCAAAGCTTCGTGAACCATCTTGGACGATTAAGGGCTGAGCCTTTTAGCTTGCTCGAGTTGTCCAACAGAAATATTATTTTCTTCTCCGTGGCTTGCTTGTTGATAGTTTCAAATAATTGATCATAGGATACACCAAGTTTTCGGGCTAAGTTGGTTAAAGAGGCGACGATGCTATCTTCAGCTTCAGATACATCTAAGAACCAGCGAATGAAAAATTTCTGCTTGTTCAACTCGATAAAATGTTCCGCTATTGAGGTTTTTCCCGTTCCTGTCGGACCATGCAGCAAAACAGGTTCACCTTTTTTAATTTCTTGAACTTCAGCGTCGATACTCTCTCTTTCAAAGTATTCAAATTGCAGATCTTCGCACGTGCTTATGGGACCTAAAATAGTTGATTGGGATCAAATTTTTAGATTTTGAGTTCAAGCTCAACAAATCCGGCATAACGGATCGCTCTAATTTGGACGTCAATGCATTATCTTTATGCTTTTACAAAAATCTATATAATTTTAACCCCAGCAACTTTAGTTAGCTCAGTATATAGCATTATATACTCCCACTGTTTGCTTATATTATATTCATACTTACTTTCATCCAAATCAAATGGTCCTGTCCCTTCGGATTTGGCCTCCGAGACGTTGGTACCTTTGAAAGAATTTCCACCGATGCTTGGTCGTGTGCGGGAAAAATCCGCTCCTTCGACCCGTGAATAATGTACATTTGTTTTAATCCACGCACTACATGTAAGACTTGACTCCATCAGATAACTGTGCACAATTGATGTGGAATTGAATGTTGAGCCAGACAGCTTTGCCTGCGATAGATCTGCAAAGAACATGCAGCAACTATTAAATATGCACTCTTTAAGGGAAGATCCTCTGAACACGGCGTGGCTCAAATCCGTTCTAGTAAGATCTGCTCCGGACAATTTTGAAACTCTAGCTTGTGAATGTCGACGAAAGACGGGTTGTAGGATATGATCTTCAGGAAGGGAGAACATGTTTTTCAAGAAGTTGGACAACGAGGGAACTGCTTTCAGATTGTCGGCAAAGGAATTCAAAACTTTGGGACATCGCACCAAAATATGGACTGGAATGTAATCCGAATGCTCTGGAGGATTATTCTCCCTGCACACTGTGCTATATTCATCATCGATACTTGATCCAACAAAATATATCCCTTGGATGAACTCCTCGTCCGAACATTTGCTACATGACTCTTTCAGCTTTCCCACTCTGCGATTTTCTTCAATCTCATCGACACCAGACTTCATTTCAAGAAACTCAGAGCGATATCCATACTTCTGAGCGTTACAACCTTTCTTGACTTTAAACAGAAATTTTCCATGATCCCCACGACGCAATCCAGGCTTTCGAAACAAACTAAAAGCTGACCATTCCTTATCATTTTCAATTTTGAATTTTTCATTATTCTTCAATTTTCCGTCTTGTAGCACCTTCCTTAGCAATGTATCCCTTTCAAACTTCTCATCACCCTTGAAATCCAACATCAATTCGACCGCACATTTAGCCAAGATTTTTACTTGGCGTTCACATTTCAAAACGTTTAACTGGTACTCAAAAATGCGAGAAAGTTCGTTTGCAGCATCTCTAACTATCGATACTAAATAGAAAGGGAATTCCTCGTGTGTAACCAGCTCGACCTTTTGAGCACGATTTTTTTCCTTTTTTTGATTATATTTTCTTACGGCATTGGAATCAAAATTATTATGGCTCCAGCAATTGAAATACCGCCCGAGAGTGCGGCACTCGCTGCAAAAGCGGTGCAACCAGCAACAATGCCCAATCCGGCAATTGAAATAGTTGCCCCATCTTCGAATTTCTGCACTAAGTTTCCACTTAATGAGCGCCTTGCCTCGTCGCTTACTTTTTCCAGTTTGTTCAGAAATTGTGCTTCAATCTCTTTCACAAATACTTCACAGAGATGCAAGACCTAAATGAAGACATTATGTTTGCTGCTTGGACAGAATTTTGAGAGAATGCACCTTTCCAGGGATTATTTTCCGAAACCAATTATAATTTGCACCCCTTATAAGGTAAAGCAAACTGAAAATCTAATAAATTGGGAGCGGAGGATAGAATGTTGATGCCCCAAAATACAGAAATGCAAATGATCTGCATGCATTTTAAAGTCTTCGCTTTCAAATAACTTAGCATCAAATGTGGTATAACAACTGCCTAAAATACACAAAATAGAAGTGTTTTTGTC